TTTTTACTTCTACTCCTTGGCTCCTGCACACTGCTGTCTTTCAGCCACACCCCTGATCTTATGATAGGAAAGATCTACCCTTCACCTTCTCGGACAAGGGCGAAAAATATCGGAGGTCCCCTGTGCAGGTTGTGCACGTTAAAGATCCCTTTGTGGTCCAAAATCGATAAGAGTAGGCTTCGGCCGCCACCTGGGCAAAATTCAAAATTTCCTACCAACTCACATTTTTAGTGTACCCCGCGCCCTCATATCACCGTGTGCAGTTGCGAGAGCCGTAAAATACTTACCAAAATATTTTTTTAACAAAATAACAAAACAAACAAACAATTAGACAAAAACAACCGCCTCAGACTTTAAAGAAGCGCTTCTTCTAACATTTTAAAATATAATTTAATTTGCATTTAAGGTTGATATTCCCAAAGAGATGTGTATGTGGAGTGACCAAAGTTCTCCACCGGCTGACCTCGTCCTATCATCGTAGAAGGTCGTTAAATTCGGAGCTCCCACCTTAAAAGACAACCTTACATACATTGATAAAAGGGGCGTAAAACCTATACCATATCGTACCTACCAGTAACCTAGGGCACACGATCAGAAGATCTAAGTAGTTTTAGTAAGAGTTTTACGGCATTTGCAGCACAATATAAAGGTCAGATAAGTTCTGAAGATTAGAGGTGTTACTAGAGAGTAACAAACACAAAATAGAATCTTTGAAAATGCTGTGAGTAGTCAAAATCTTTGAAAATGCTGTGAGTAGTCAAAATCTTTGAAAATGATGTGAGTAGAATGAACTCGTCGTTTCTCGTAGAGTTTTATAAGGACCATAGATGTTTTATAGGAAAGAAGGAGCAAACCACACCAGAGCACCCAACAACCAACCACGACCTAAGAAGCGCAGAAGTTTTCTTTAGTAAGACAATAATTAGCTACCACTCACGGAACCTTCTTCAACACAGTTTGGATTGGCAAACGTAACAGAACCAAGAACATCCCCACCCCCTTTTCCTAAAGGAACAATCCACCCCTATCAGCCCAGCCCCACCCTCACAGCAGCTACATATCTCATTTTCCGAATTAAACGCTTCACCCAAGCGTATCCAGTCCGTCAATTCGCCGTGAAATTAGCGCTTAATTAAAGCGAATCCACACTCGTTGCGGTGCCTCGAGTCAGTGTCGTGCGCTGCGAGCCAGTGTCGATCACTGTAACGATATTCCAGTCTTCGCATCAGTTGAGTTTATTTGCCTTTCTTGGCGTTTCGATTTTCATTCAGGCGCTGTGGGCGAAGAAAACGCGGAGTTAGAGAATCGTTCCTAGTAAGCTAGGAGCAATAGTATGACGAAATCTTCTGAGATCAAATCGTTTTAGTTTGTTTTTTTAAAAACATGTTATAGTAACTTTGAGAACCACGCATGATATAGGCTGGTTGATCTTTAAATACAATAAGGAATTTTCCAAATCTTTGAAAATGCTGTGAGTAGTCAAAATCTTTGAAAATGTTGTGAGTAGAATGAACTCGTCGTTTTTCGTAAAGTTTTATGAAGGAGAAAACGTACCTTTTTACGCGTCGTTAATTTTGGATTACGCAAACATCACCATTACATTCTGGGTTCCCACTGAGTGACTACACTTTAGAACGACAGAATGGACCGCCAAGACACCCTGTGGAACAAGTCAAAGTAAGCACAACAGTTGCTGATGTTTTACTTTGCTCTTCTCTCTCGACGTTTAAGTTGCTATTGTTGTTAACGTTTCTGATTATTTGTTTTATTGCAATTGTTGTTGTTGTTATTGTTTTGCTTTTTGTTGTTCTTGGTGTCGTTGTTGTTGCTGTTGCTGTCGTTCAGTTCGTATTATGATTGTTGTTGTTGTTGTTGTTGTTGTTGTTGTTGTTGTTGTTGTTGTTGTTGTTGTT